TGGGGGGGGGGGGGTGCTGGGGTGTCCCACGGTTTCCACATGGAGGGCCCCTTGGGCTACATATATACGCCGGTGAAGCACGGCCATCTGCTCTCGGAGCACGACGAAACCGGTGTGGAGAAGAGCGCTATTTTTTTTCTTCCTCGCTCAGAAGAAGCGAACAGATCGTCAATGGGTGCCCTATAGATAGATGTCGTTCTGGTCCCAAAGGTGTGCTAAAAAATATGGCTTCCCCGTAATCAAGTTTTGGGGGCCCTGTATCGCGCGGCGCAACTTTGGCCGATATATATATATATATAGTCTAGAGCCTTTTTTTCCCTCCTGGAATGAAGGGAAAAAATGTCGCTCGCTTCGCTCGCTCCGCGGCTCATTATTTTTGTCTTGCGAGGAGTTCGGAAGAACGGGAGATGACATGGCTGGGAAGCCACGCAAGCAAGTGAGGGTGAATCAACAAGGCGAGGAAACGGCATCGAGTGGCAGTCAGCATCAGTGATAGACGAGGCGAGTTTCGCAAGGAGTGGCGAGAGAAGGAAGGGCGCTTCGTGAAAAGACGGCGAGGCAAGGAAGTGTAGCCGGTCTGTCAGGAGGTACTGGACAAGAGGTATGTAGCATGGCTGGAGAAACGTTACGGAACGGGTTGGTTTGTAGATAACCGACCCTATACTCGTGAATGGTTGTGAACAACGCGAGGCAAGGAATAAGGCTACCCATGCGTGGGCTCGCATGGCCGCGAGATTGTATGACGTAAGAATGGTCGGGAAAGGGGTTGGGGTGATGGCAGGGGGCGATCTCTCCCAGTTGATACTCGGATGAAGGTGGGGTGAAAGGCAAAGCACTCGGTGTAGCCAGGACATTGGGTTGGCGATAAATGCCTTGGCGGCAGAAGGGTAGTGGTTTAGAGAGGAGCCACGCCACGCGCGTGAAGTTTAGTGACAATGCGAGTAAAGGAATCGCTCGGGCCTGGAGCTGGGATGGACGACGGACGAGAAAACGCATGGGGGCAGAAGCGGTGGTGAAGGGGTGTTGGCTTGACGCGGTAGCGATGCCACCCAGTGGAGAGTAAGTGCGCAAGGCGAGACACGGAATCTGTGTCGCTGGTCCTTAGCTGTGCCCAACGTGGCAACGGTGACAGTCATCTGTATCGCTGATGTCCATGGTGTACAAAGGTGGTGTCTCGTGTCCGATGGACGCCGTGTGTTGCTGCGCACGCTTCACGATATGGTGCCTCTGGGATGTAATTTTCATTAGGCTCGAGAAAGACTGGTTGTCGGGTGGTGCTAGCGGCGTGTTGCGACCTACAGAAATGACGCTGCAGGGCTACAAAATATCCCATCACATAGGGGTCACCCCCGGGCGTTGGTATCAAGACGCGGGAGGATGCCTCGACGATGTTCTTGGGTTCGCCAAAAACGACCTACTGTAGCCGCTCGGAGGCCGACTGAAAAAAACACGTGGGACAATTTCGAGGAACGGCGAGACGGTAAAACCTCTTCAGAGAGGGTGTCGGGGTCGAACATGCATGTTCCTTGTTAAGGTAAATGCGTAAGTGGTATGATGGCTGGGAGTGAGGCACGAACGTAAGAAAAATCATCACAGGACTCTCGAAACGTCACTCTATTTGATGCGGTAAGGCATACGTTGTTGCTGGACAACGAAGTCAAGCAGCTCATTACCATCGTCTCCAATGGTTCGTATATGAAACGACACCCCTTGACAACAGCTGAGATTGCTTCGGCCGTGGTGGGAGAAGCACGGTTGGCGTTGCGACCGGATAAAACGTGCTCTGCCGCCGCAAGCGGCCGCGGCGTTGAGCACCAGCAATCACGGTAAGCCCAGCCACTGTGAGCACCAACAAGCAATTTGTGTTTGAAAATATTATTAATCAGCCCCATTCAAGCCCCACGTGCGCGCTGAATCACGTCGCCTCGAGCAACAGCTCCCCTTCCCACACCCGACCAACACCCTACTTGTATCCAAGGAAGTCCGTTGTATCCAAGCAAGTCCGTGAACTCCCCAGAACATGCACCCCAGCGCCCTCCGCTCTCGTCAGGTATCAAGGGAAACATCATAGAGGAGCCAAATCGGACAAGGAGAAAAGATTACTACTACTCAGGACGTCAAAAATCAGCACCAGCCCGAAGAGAATCAACCTTAGTACTGAGCCTTCTTGGCAAGCTCGGCCTCGATGGCCTTCTGCCTCTTCTCCAGCTTGCGCTGGGTCTTGAGGCCCATGACGCCGCCGCCCCACTTCCTGACGAAGCCCTCGTTGAACTGCGCGGTGAAGTTCGACTTGAGGTTGGAGAGCTTGGACTCGTCCTCTTTGTTGACGGTCGTCAGGCAGATGACGGCAGCGTTCTTCTGGTGCACAAGGGTGCCGAGGCGAGCCTGACGGGCGGGAGAGGGGGGCATAAACGGAGGCATGTGGGGGACGTGACAGGGAACAGGGCTAGAAACCTTGGTAGATGCGTTGATGCCTCACTGACCCTTAGGGCATGATGGAATCGTTTTGCATTTGGCGTCAATAGATTTGGTACAGCGAAGACTCCAAGGGTTAGGTTACACACGGCAAGCTTGATTCGCGTGTGTGAGACACCTTCTCAAGAGCCCCCCACACGTTGTGGCTTGGTACACCAGGACATGTGATGTGGGGCATGACTTTCGGTGGACACGGAACAAGACAAACGCGTCTTCCGGAACGATGAACGCTGGTAACCCTCGGTTGTTCACCTACTGAAACCAGCGAAGACGAGAGCCATTCTGATTGTTCCTGGAGGGTGGTTGCACGAACAAGGAATGCGAATCTCATTATCCTACAGGAAAAAGCAAAAAACGCGTGGTTTTTGGCATAAACCTTGCAAGTACCCCTCCTTCGCTGCTCACCTTGCCCTTCATGATGCAGTAGGGGATACCCATCTTCCTGCAGAGAGCGGGAAGCCAGACCACCAGCTCGATCGGGGTCACGTCGTGCGCGATCACCACAAGGGACGCCTTCTGCTCCTCGATGAGGGTGGTCACGTGCTTGAGCCCAAACTTGATCACCTGAGAGATGGAACGGCATTAGCGAGCGACAACAACACACCATAAGAAGGAGTCCAGTCTACCACACGCATGCCTGTCCAAACAAGCACGCGGCAAGGAAACGAGTCCAACACGAAATCCATCCTACACATCGGATGCCGTGCTTTCCCGCTAACAAAGCAGAGCAAGCGTCATCACCCATGAAGTCGCATGAGTCGATCCTGAACTTGAAAAAAAAAATGAACAGGTTTTCCACACCTTGGGTGCCTTCGAGGGGGCGGGCTCCTTGCCGGCCTCCTTAGCGGCGGCGATCTCCTTGAGGCGCTGCTGCTTGGCCTTCTTGTCCTCCGGCTGGTACTTCATCAGCACCTTCAGGAGTTCGGTGGCCTGGTTCTTGTCGATGGCCTTGCTGAACTGGTTGATGCTCGGGGGAACCTTCAGGCGCTGCACCAGGATCTACGAAAGGAGAGGACACCGGGAAGCGAAAAAAACGTACAAAGACGGTACGGTTCGAATCAAAATGATGGTCGTGCCGTACTCAAGGGGCAGCAAACATATATTTAGCTGCCTGCGCCGTGCAGCCGAGGGCTTGACGACGGCAAGAGGGCACCGTGACAAGCGACCGGCACCAGCGAAAGCAACATGCAAACAGCCACGGGCAAGTTGCGTGCACCGTACGCCATTCCAGATATCAACATCGCGTTGCCTCTGGTAACATCCGTATCCGTGAGTGCGGGGATCACAGCGACGTCGAGAGTGGCGGCCACAAGGGGGCGCAGCGGGATGAAAACCTTGGACGAGGCGAAAAAAATATTTTCTCGTTACGAGAAGCCTGCCATGCTGAAGACAACGGATTGATATTCTTACGCTTCAGCAAGGGAGACGCACGCGTGCGTTGTCATCAGTATGGCTACACAACTTTGGTATCAAGCCTCGCATTCATGGGTTGGCAACAGGTACGAAACGGCGACGTCTGCCACTTGGATGGCATCTGCGGTGTCCATCGGGTAGTTCTAGTTCTCGTCCGTCTTTGCGCACACGAACAAACAGCAAACTGCCGGCGGTCTACAGTCCAGCCAGGCCACAATTACCCCCGCATGAAATCCGTGCCAGAACCAAGTAATTCATCTCTTGGCCGAACCAAACGAAAGTGATGGGTGCATTGAAGAACAATTCAACAGTCCTAGCTAGACACAACCAGTTTTGGTTTTTCTCTTCTCACCTTGCGCTGGCGCTGGAGGCGGATGTACCTCGGCCACTTGACGAACCGGGACAGGTCCACCTTGGGCTGTTGCAAAAAAAAAAAAAGACAATCAAGTTGGTAAATCGAAAGGGAGCCAGAGCACATTCCGCCGCGTGAGGCGAGAGACAGCAGCGCGGGCAAACAGCAGGGTACAGGGAAAATCGGAGTGAGCGGGGAAATGCCCTTAGGACTCTTGACAAAAACGGTCGAAAAGGACGGCTGCAACAAACCACAATCTTGTACCTTTGTACATCTTGTACAAAGTGCAGGGTGTGGTTTGCACCATGACGACCGCAACGCCAAAAATACAACACAATCCTAAAAGTTGATTATTCATCGTTGACATCCTGATGCACGATCGAAATGAACACATGTAAGTCTCTCTCGGAGCACCATCAGACTACCACACCATGCTGTTGCTCAGAAAAAAAATGCAACCCCGAAACCCACGACTTTTTAGCCGTTGGATCTGACCAAAATGCGTCCGCATGCACTTTCAGTACTCAGAATGTCCGCTATGCATTGAAACCGAGGGAGGTGGCTAGACGCGCGCTATCTTACGACTCACAACTCGTTCAATTTTTCAAGCAAGACTTGCCTAGATCACCACCGTATTTATTTCATAACGCTCGGGGCAACAGCGCTAATACATGCAGGTTCCACCGCAACTTCTGTCATCACGGCGCGGGGAAGTGCCGCTACTGAAATCTCTCAGAACCTTCCCGAAAGAAGGAACTTCGAATTGTTTGTTAACCCGGGGCTGTCTGCTCTCCCCCCCCTCCTTCCTCGTCACGCTCACTTCCTGTCCGCACCATAGCCCCCCCTTCACACTCACGCCTCGCGATAGAGTGGGGTCACGGGGTCACGGGTGGGGAGGGGCGCGAGGTGTCCACGGGAGCGAGGCGGTAGGAGGGGGGGAAACATAGCTGAACAACAGACAAGCGTTTCTCGTGTTCTTTTCCGCGCTACCGGGGGCCGTAGACTTTTATGTCATCGCGATGGGCCAGTCGCTACAATTTCGGCACCAGCAGAGCAGGGGGGGGGGGGGGGAGCGGAGTCACCTCTTCTTCCGTTTCCCCTCCCCTCCCGCCCATGCTGTGCGAAAAAACTCCCGGCCATGGTCAGGCATGTGTTACCTGGATGTCGCGGCCGATGCGGAAGGACTTCTTCCTCGCGGGGAAGAGGGGGTCCGCCACCTTCTTAGGGGTGGACTTCACCTGCTTCTTCACCTGCTTCTTTGCGACACCCTGGCCAATGCACGGAAAAAAAAGGAGACAGTCGATTGGGCACAGAAGCAGTTGTCAAGCGTTTCATCGTAAGAGAAACGAGCAGCGAATGAAGGGGGGCACAACCAACCGTAGGAAATTTGTTCATCCGCAACACGCACAAGGGGCGCATGGACTGGCTAGGATAGACATCATAGATACGTGCGAGACGAAAGCGAATGACAACGCCGCAGCCAACAGCCAACAAACGTGAAACGACACAGCGGGTTGGTCAAACACTGCAACAACCATGTACGACAAAGCACCCGCTTCGCTGGCCCCCTTTTTCATTATGTTGTGCGGGATGCTCGTGGCAATCAATTGTGGCCCCGCGAACAGCAGCTAAATATGGATATGTACTGCTGTGCTGCTAACGTTTGAGTGCATGGCTGCTCGGATCGGTTCTCATCAACACCGCGAAATTGGAACTAGAGCAGCTGCTGCTGTACCGTTACACCGTTACGATAGGTCGTTTAAGACACCACAACCCCCTTACCAATTTTCAAACGCTTTAATAGTCCACGACGACCAAGAGCATGCTCGGTGAGCACCAAGCTCGGGCTGCTTCTTAGACACGGCGCCGATTGATCTACTCTTCGCCGCTGACGCACGAAGCTCGTGCTTGGGAGTCATGACTGCTGCATCCATGATGACTGCGCTACGCCATGATGCCCCGAACGACAACAGTCGGGCTAAAATGACTGGTGACCCGGACACGCGCAACCCTATACGTTGGCAGACGGCTACTGCTGGCGACAGGATCTGAAAACAGCAGTGCGACAGAGAAGAGCTACGGGAGGGATATCCACAAACGCGATACTTGCCAATAGTTGTACACAGGATGCTCGCGTTACGTGCATCAGAGCAAACTCCTTGCTCTCGTCTCAGCCTTTTGCCCTGTGGTGGCCAAGGTGGAGCACCGAAATCGACCAACACATCAGAGAGGCAGGTAGCCTAGGCTCTCTAGCAGGCGCACGCCCACGGACATGCCTCGGCGAGCAACAACCACTCGACCATTCTGTAGTGCGAAGCGCTTCACTCACCATGGTGCTCGGAGGGGGGGATCAACACAGGCGTACCGGGGCTGAAGTGAGCAGAAGGCCGCCGCAATACCACACACAGAGGGCACACGCGGAGCGGAATTATCTCGCATGCCATGATTTCGAAAGACCCCTCATGTGCGGCGCAATTAATATGTTTCTGTGTGACCTGGCGACCGTCCCGTGCACTGCTGTACTACTGCAACAGAGGAAATACGCTGGTTCCTGCTTCTGCATGAGTGCTTGTCCAGCTCCATCTGCCGATATTGAGAGTTTGAGACCCCCTCTCCGCGCCAGAGAGGGCCTCAAATCAACGGGCAGCGCAGTTTGCACACACACAACGTGTCACCCTTGGGAGCGACTTACACCAGAAACGCGGCGGGTTTCGGCGGGTGCGCGTGAGCTTTGGGAGCTAACAACAGCAGGCTGATTACAACATGGGTGACATTGTGGGCGGGGTTGGCATCCATGAGGTATGACCGTTTGTGATTCCACCCTCGTAGCGTATTTACGGGCCTGCGTTCCTTTGTGATGCCGGATCAGCACGCTGTGGGTTAATGGCGCGGGGGGGATCGCGGTACCTCCTCTGAAAAATCCAGGAAACGCCTGCATATCTCGGTTTTCCAAAGTCTAACTGCAGTACGAAACTACCATCGTAAATTAACCGCCCGCAGCGGTCGCTTGTGGACAAGTTTAGCAGCTGAGATTGTAGCCCTTTCGATACACTACAGACTAGCGGTCCGCGATTTTCCAAACGATCCTTCTATCATCGCGTTCGGTGAGCTACAAGCTAGATTTTTGAAGCTGCTGTGGAGTCCAATTTTGAAACGCTTCAAGCACCTTTGCCTAAAGGCTGGACATGCATATACATGACCCTAGGCATTCAAATCGACAATGGCGACCAGCTGGATATGTGAGGGAAGAGCTGCGCTGAAGTTCGCGGCCCCATACACTCACATAAGCGGTGATTCGTGTTCACCGTGTGCTTGAAGCGTTTCAAAATTGAACCGCACAGCAGCTTCAAAAATCTAGCTTGTAGCTCACCGAACTCGATGATAGGAGGATCGTTTTGGAAAATCGCGGACCGCTAGTCTGTAGTGTATCGCAAGGGGTACAACCTCAGCTACTAACATTGTACACAAGCGACCGCTGCGGGCGGTTAATTTACGATGGTAGTTTCGTACTGGAGTTAGACTTTGGAAAACCGAGATATGCAGACGTTTCCAGGCGTTTCCTGTTTTTTGAAGAGGAAGTACTGCGATCCCCCCCGCGGCCTTAACTCCCTCCGGGGAATGTTGCAGTCTGCAAACTCTGCCTTTCCTGTGGACACTGCAACCGAAGACGCTGTGTTGAAAATGTCAGTGTGTCTGCCATTTTGCGGGACATGGCATGCGGGTCACAGATTACTAGCTCGTGTACTTCGCATGGCTGGGGTCCTTTGGACGACTGGATCTCTCTACGGGTGCAAAATCGCCAATTTGTATGTCAATTTTCCCGCGGGTGCTGTTGTAGTCTACTTCCATACAGCGGGGGGGGGGGGGCGAGGAAGGGGAAAAGGAGACAGAGAGATACTAGATTATGTGTAACCTCTGACGGGAGGAAAGCGATGTGTAGTGCAACCGCCGAGAATCCAAGACGAAAGCATCGACGCAGAGGAGGATGGGGGAAAGTTTTAGGAGGCAGCGGGGATTATTGCTGAGCGGTACAGTAGCCTGCGTTGGAGGATGGTACACCCTGTCGGAATATTGCCAATGGCATTGGTACCGACGCTACCGGCTGGGGTCGTCGATGATCGCCCCGAGGATGTTGGAAGGGACCATAACACAGGTCGCTATGTACTACTGTGCATATGTCGTACCTTCGTTGTTTGGGTTTTCAGCTGTGGTATGTGCGATTGTGCCAGGCGCAACGTTGCTTTGCTAAATAAAAGTTCCCTATCGCTCATACTGCTGTTTTACTTCGTGCCTCCACGTTAGGTCTTCGCTTCTTGTTCCGCCTTCTCTGGTGCAGTCGTTTGTTGCCTTCATGTTGTTTTGTGGCTTGTATTCTACAACAGCACTGTTTTGCGCCAACAGCTCGAGTTGTGGTGGCTGTCAACGTACGGTCGTCACACAGGAGGTGCGCCCATGGCCGCCGAAGAGACTAAATATGGTATACGGCAGATGAGCAGCAAGCGACCACTTACCGCACGTAAGATTGTACACAGATTGTTGCAAACTGTACTTTTTAGTTCGTTTGAGGTTCGCTGGGCTCGTCGAGATAAGAACACGGCAACTGTAGATTGACCCTGCAGCCTGATTTTATCCTCATCTTGCATGACCCCCTGATTACTCTGCGCCCTCGTGAGCCCGCTCCGGAGAGGTTCCCTTGTATATCCTATTCTTACTGGTACCGAGATTTTCAGAGGTCACCTACCGTAATATAACAGAAAAAACTTCGTAACAAGTGTTAAACTTTCTCGGGTTGTGCCCCCTCGCGTGACCCCCAAAACTGCTTGCTGACAGGTGGTGATCCCTGCAGTCTGTTTCGCGGTTTGCGCCGCCTTTCAGGGCTGGGAATTGTGGGGCCCTCACAAGCCCGAGCTTGCTAGAGCGAGAGCACTATTTAGGGACGTACGGGCAGGATGGGTCGTGGTAAGTCCTGTTGGTGGCCGTTGCTGTACCTTGGTGCTGCGGCAACAGGGTGCCGGGAGAAGGTAGATATGCACCTCTTCGATTATCGGTTTTTGGTATCTATTTGTATGGCGGGGTGTGTAGCAGTGTCCCTCGTTGGCGTGGTGATGGGGTTGGGTGCGTTGCTGTACTACGCCTTGGTATGGTACGGTATGTTTCGGTATGTTACGGTATGCGGTGGGGTAGGAAAGGGCAGCCGTGCACGATGATACCGCATTTTTTTTTTATGTCGTGTGGGTATGTGGAGGTATGGCGTCTGATATGGCGTGGCCAGGATTGTATGGTTTTGGGTTATGATGGTGGGGCCGCATCGCGAAATAGGTGAAGGCATGCACCGCAGGAGGACGAGGGCGGAGGGCCTTGGCGACTTAAAGCCTTCCAATCAAGAGATGGCAACCACCGCCATGAGGGTCACGAACAAGGGTGCTGTACGAACCTCATTCGGTCGGTGTTGAGAGCAAACTTTGGTTTCCATCCAGGTTGTTGGTGGAAAGTCAGAATCGTGGTTGTTCTTTTGCGGCTGCTGTAAGATATGGTGGCACATCGTGCACGGCTCGACTGTTTGTGTGTCTGTAGGGCGGCCCTGATGTATATATGTAGGCGGATCGTTCGATTGTGCCAGACTGCTGTTGGACAGGTCGTTCATGAAATGCCACACGGCCAGGATTGTGTGCATGTCTTTCATGTTAGCATCCATGGCTCTAAGCGGCTCACCAATGAAAAGACGCCAAGTGCGTTTGTGTTTCTGCATTGCTGTAGTATCGTCTGCCCCAACTGGCCACCCAGTGAACATACGCCAGTCTTGTGCATATCGCGGTATCAATGACGAGAGTACGCTCTATCTTGTCTTCGATCTCCCTTCAAAGTGTGCGGATATCCGGCTGAACCATGAAAATTCGCAAGTCTCACTGAGGGAAAGAAACGCGAACCCGCTTGTGAGTATGTACATGTGCATGGTGGACTTGCTCTCCTTTCGCCTCAGCACGACGTCCGCCAGCCAATGGCGAGAGAGTGTGGCATCGAGCTGCTTTCCTGCTGATTTGCACCCTCTAACTAGAACGTTCCGCACCGCGCCTATTTCTTCTTTTCTCTTTGTCGCTGCTATTGTTGTTGTTGTTGTTGTTGTTGTTGTTGTTGTTGTTGTTGTTGTTGTTGTTTCCTTCTGCCGGCAGGATAACTACATGAAGGGACAAGCGGCGGTGAACACGACGAGGGACTACATCCGAGCCGCCTTGTTCTTTGCCAACACCGCGATCCTCCTCGCAACATTCGTCGTGGGGTACGCAGGTACGAGGCGGCGAAAATATCGGCGGGAAGAATGGAGACGGAAAAAGGATCGAGCCTAACCCCGGTTGAGGCACGCGGGCTTGTTCGGGCGAACGGACCAGCCACACCCGTTGCATACGGAGATATGCCCGGCTGGGTCTTGCATCTTGCGCACCCCACCACTAGTGCAGCAGTTCGGTTCGAAGGATACAGAGACACAATGACAGCCCACCTAACCCGGTGCATGTATCACTTAACATCTATCCGCACGTCGAACATGAACACCGTTTCCGGCCGGCCGGCCGACCAATCAGGGTCGATTTACACGGACTGCTCCGACGGAGACACGTCTTGCAGCGCCGACGACTGGCTGTTCGTCATCAAGCTCGGCGTCCTGGCGGCGCTGCTCATGACCATCTTCTTCGTCTTCACGCAGTGCACTCGCTACGCGGTCCACTTCAGCTTCTGCATCAACACCAGGAGTGAGTGATTGAGGCCAAAAGCGGCTGCTGTATCAATAAATCTCGGTGCTTAAGGGTGATGATGGCGATTTTTTTTTTTTTTTGCATCAGAGAGGATAATGGCGCGTTCGGTGACTTGGCGGTGCTATTTAAATAGTGGGATTTGGCATCAACGCCATGGGCTGCCCAATAAAAGAAGGAGCGGTGTGTCCCAAGGCATCGTGCGTGATGGTGTGTGTTGCGCAGCAGCCGTCGTCGCCCTCGTTGTGGTTCACGTGCACGTGTGGTTTTGGTTTGGCGCAAGCTTGTAGTGGCGGTCGTGAAGGTGTGGCGGAGATCCTGGGCGACAGCAGTGTTGCAACGTGGGGTACGGGGTCCTCGAACTCAATGCTTTCCGTGAAAACTCTGCCACATCTAAACCTCTGTTGCTGTAGCCTCGGCCTGTCTCACCTTCTGAACGTCGTTTGCGTGAAGCGAATATGCATGGAAGAAGGGAGGGCGAGGTTTGGTCCCGAGATCGTGCCCGTGGTTCATTTTAATGCTATTAGTATTCCCTTGTGGCGTCAATCGTTTCTCGATTGCGGCGAAGAAGGCAAGGTGCTGGGACGTCCGTGCCCCTTTAACAGTGCTGACTGGCCTTTTTCTTGTGGACGGTATCGTGTTTTCAAATTTTGCCACGAGCGCTGAGACGGCATGGTTTCCGTGTTGCAGTCTCGAAGAAAGCTCCTCTCCGCTTTTCTTCCCTCCGTGTTTTGTCTTGTTTTTGCTGCTGCTGCCGCTACTGCTGCTGCTATTGGTGACGGTGGTGGCGATGGGATTTGTGCTGCAGAGATTGCGGGAGCGCCGATGCCACAGTCCCTCATGGTCAAGGTCTTCAACCACGCGCACCAGTACTACAGCTTGGGCATCCGACTTTACTTCGGAACTATCCCCGGTGAGGCGGCAAGGTCGGCGTTTCAGCACGAGGCATACTACGAAATGGGTGTCCTCGTGCTTCTTGGCAGAACAGCTCTTGCAGTCGTTTTTCGTGCAGGCGTATCTCAAATTCATGTCAATGTGGAAACAATCAGGAACAGGGCACAAGTAGAAGCACGTGGTTGCTCTGGACCAGAGGTAAGCCAGCATTCTGGGCCCGTGACGGGACCAAGCGCGGAACGAAAGCCGACTATATTCACACACACGCGTCCTGCTCAGGCCGGGGTCCGACTTGTTGATCAAGGGAAGAAACGGCATGCACACAATGTTGCCAGTGTACAACACGGTACTTCTCTACGGTAGCTTTCAACCGCCGTGCGTACAAGCAGAACTGGCCGTGACACATACCTTCCAACCTCCGAGAACAACAACCGCTATTTTTGCGTTTGAAATGTTTCTCTCAAGGGTTTGCTAGTATTGTGCTTCCTCAGACACACTCCAGTTATCGGCGCTTCCCAGGAAACGAGTCTGGAGTGGTCTGCTGGCCTACCTCTTCACCGCCTAGGTCCTGCGAATGGTGGAGCGTTCAGGATGCAGTTCCTCTTTTTCTCTGTTGAGCGTGCGAATCCTCATGCATTTTTCCGCCGGGGCGGAGGCCTGCAATGCGACAGTAACGTAGAAATGCCGGCCCTGCGGTCTTCCGGCGGCGTTTTACGTCCATTTTTTCTAGAGTCGATGCTCTATACGTGGTTTCGAATCCCCCCGGTACAAAATGCCTTGTCTGCTTGTCGTTTTCTTACCAGTGGTGTGATGTCCTCTCGCCAAATTCACACTGCTATAAGGTTGTTTTCCATCGCACAGACCACCCCCACCCCATCCGCCCTGAACCCGCCAAACAATTGGCTACTCTTTACAGTACCTGAGCTACCGCGCCTCTCCCCTCAAATCCCCTCCATCTGTTTCGTACGTTCAGAAGAGAACGTGTTTTAGCTAACACATTTTGCACCGCTTATCCCCGTGTGCCCCCGCCTCCGCGGCTGGTCGCATTCTACGAAATTCCTTTTGCGTGCTCCCAGTTTTCGCGTGGATCTTCACGTCCTGGGCTTTGCTCGCCGTGACTCCCGTGTACGCGTACATGGTGAGGGGGCTGGAGAACGCCGGGTTCGTGCAGGACGAGCTGGACGAGATCGCCAGGGTTAGGGCGGCGTTGCCGCAACCGCCGTCGTCGTCCTCACCACAACCACAACCCCCTGCAGCAGCAGCAGCAGCAGCAGCAGCAGCAGCAGCCGTTGCTCCGCAGAGAGCCGAGGTCAAGCAGCACGTTGTATAGCATCTTCTCGTGCTTTCAGCCGTTGCGGCACCGGCGGCGGGGTCAGGAGCGGTCGTTCCTTGCGGCGGACGGCCGTGGTTAAGCGGCCCTGGGCGGTGCAAAAGTAACGCGTTTCCCCAAGCCATCGCTACCATGTGGTACTGTGATTGCGTACGGGAAGCGCCCATGTAGAGTATTAACTGGGATACCGCTCTTGTTCACAAAATGGATTGAGCCTGCCGGACCCCGTAGTTTTCGTATAATAGGAGGCGCGGTCGGTAGTGTTGTCCACGCACACACGGGCTATTAACTAGAGAGGGTTGCTGTATATGCACGAGATCCCCGCAGAAAAAAAGCGAACGTAGAGACGCCTTGTGTTCTACGAACATGCAGCGTACTCCGGAGTAGTTGTGTTAATGCCTTGGCACGAGAGTAAATATATTAGGGTTTGAAATATTTTTGCCAAGAGGGTGTATTGACGGTATTTTTTCGTTGCAGATTACGGTGAGCCAGCTACCTTTCTGAAAGGCGCATGCGGACCTCGGCAATGGGAGCAACGCTGCCACCTTCGAATCTTGCATCAAGCGCATCGGGCTCATGCATAGAATAGCTTTTCATGTTTCGTGTATAGATGTTGGAAAACTGTAAGCACTCCTGGTTTTGGTCTGACTGCTGTTTTCTTGCTTCAAGGCGCGAGTAATCGTGCGTGTATGTCTCGGGGGCGAAATCACTCTGTGTGTGCGGAAGCTTTAGAAAGATGCTTGTTGTCGCATGGTAGTGTACGTTGGACGTGTGTTCCAGCAAGTGTTGTCTGACGTCCGCATACCGTTGTTCGTGGTTCCCATATGGACGCCCTTTGCGCACACGATTTCTTGGTGGCCCTGCCTTGCGTTTGTCTGCTGTGGCATAGAAGGGCTTCTTGTATTTTTTGTATTGACCGAGACCGTACTTTTGTGAAGCGGTGCGTTGCGACCAGGGACAGCAGTCCTTGGGGCCAAGTTCCAGCTCAGCTATATGTTGGTGTTCGAACGTTTTTCTAACGTTTCGCGTGGCAAGTTGCCGAAACACCAGTACATACATACCACGTGCATGCCAACTTAGAATTGTGCGGATTGAGGCGGGTCCATTTTTCACTCCGCTGATCGCCAGAGGCGTAGTTTCCAGTTGGTTGATGGCGTTGCTGTTTGATGTTGCTCTTCCGTAGGCTCGGGCCAAGCAGTAATTATTACTTCAAGAGTTTTTTTAAGGTGTACATGCGGTAATTATTTTTCCCGCGGCACAGGTGCCGATATGCTTCAATCAGGGCTGCCGCTTTCCTTACGACTCGTTCGATTTCACGCCAGAAAAACAAGCTTTCTAATTGTAAGCGCTGTGAAGGGCAAATCTTGGTCTGTCCCAAAGAAGTTAAGCGAGCTCAGCCGTTCTAATCTGGTTCAACACGCGAGCCTACTCGTGGCGTGCCCTCCCAAGTTTGTCTAATCGCCGCGGAAAATCCCAGACGACGCGACATGCCCCCAACGGCATCATGCGTGCCACAAACACGCGACCAAGAGATGGAAACCCACTGCCGTTGCGATCATCCTCGTGCTCAGCCCTGCAAAGCCACCGCAGAGCGAACGAGGTCGAGCATCCGCAGAGAGAAAGTGTTGGACGCCACTACTTGCAACCACACGCGTGCATGGAGCTCCAGCATTGTAAAGCTAAAACGGCGGGACATCGGAGGCCTTATCCAGACGAACACCTGCACGCCGCAGGCGTCCCGAGCCAAAGCAGGAGCACAATCCGAAGTACGCCGCAGCGGTACAAGGCCCCTTGGCACTAATCAAATCACGATGCGCCAAAAGATTAATTACGCTATTTTGGCCAAATTGAGACACGTCGGCTGCATCAGATTTTCTAATCAGCTGAGGTACAGCAAAGGGGTTACGCGTCGTTTCCGGCAGCAAAGCGTCGGGGTGCTTCGGTTTGGAACACTGCTCAAGACTGGATATTTTAACTGGCCAAAGACCAAACAACCCTCGAGGAAACATGAGCACCAGCTCTTTTGCAGTGCGTCTCCCACGGATGACGATCAACCAACCTTGCTGGGTTCAGAGCACGCCCCCATCCCCTATCCCATGACTTGAACTTACGTCGCAAAAATTCTGGTAGGGCAAGAAGTGTGTTGCAATCGCGTGTGTCCATGCCTCTTAAATACCCCGTCTGCCCCTTTCTTGAGTCCGGCGGCTAAGCTACACGCAATTATTGGAACCGGGCGATCAGGTACGACTCCCCTCACAAAAACAATGATAGGCGAGCTCTCGGCTCATCCCTGCCTCTTCGATTTCGTTATTCGCGAGCTCCGCTTCTCTGCCCCGAGCCTCTGCGCGCGCGTGGTGGCCTCCTGTGTGTACTGCCGCACCCTAGCGTCGTCGAGCGTCTCCAAGACACCACCGCCCCCCGCTGGCACGAGCCCCCTCCCTCCCCCCTGGTTGTAGATGCTCGGGAGAGACGACACCCCCGCGAATCCTCCGTCTCTCCCCGTTTCGCCTCCTCCCTGCTCGCTCCCAGCGCCTTGGCCCTTGCCGCCGAAGTCGTACAGGGAAGCTGCTGGCGCGTGCCTCCGAGGCACGAAGCCCCCGAAGAGCGCTCGCCCCGCTCCGACCTCGGACCTCTGTTGCTCGCGGCTGGGGCACGCGGACGCCGCGGGACCCCCGGAACCACTCTTCCTCTTGTTCCTCTCCTTCTTCTCCTTTCTCCTCGCCGCAATTTCTGCCGCCGACTCTGCCGCTGCTGCTGCTGCTGCTGTAGATGCTGGCGGTGAGGGTTCCGTCCCTCCGGTGCTCGAAGTGCTGGCCTCTTCTGCGGCCCCCCCGCCGGGCTCGTCGAAGTTGCCGCGCGCAACCGCCTCGTCGCGCGCGCCTTGGAGCAGCCAGTACAGTCCCCCTTCTCCTCCTCCTCCGTCACCACCTTCCCGCCGCCGTCCATCCGACGACCCACCCCTGTTCTCGGACAGCAGCAGCGCCGCCGCTCCCCCAGAGCCTCGCCCACCTCCCACCCGCACACCAGAGGGATCGACTTCGCTCCCAGCACCACCCCCTGGCGCGGGATGGCTCGGGTGCACCTGGTGCTCGAGCCTGGTCCCTCTTGCCGATGTCGTTGTTGCAGTTGTTCCCGTTGGGGCCGCGGCTGGGCTGTGGGAAGCGGGGTGATTGCCCACACCCGCAAGCAAGAAGCGCACCTTGGGGAGGCGCGCTTGGGTCGGGAGAACCTCGCACGACAGCTGGGAGACAACGGGCAGGGGGGGGGGGGGAGGGGATACAGGTGGGAGCACGGCAACGTGTGTGTGTGTGTGTGCGTGTGTGTTTGTCAAAAAACATGGCAATAATCGCGAAAACAAGCGGGAAAAAAAAAAACGTCAGTCGCACAGCCGGGCGAAAAAACGCCAAGCAAGTGTTGCGTGTGCGTGTGGTTGCACGAAGGCCATATGCCACGGATTTCACGCTGTTCAATCTCACGGAGAAGTGGCCTTCGTTTGATGCCATCGACCCTCGCGTCCCTACAAAATACCACACTCAAATCTCTCGCTCCATTTTCTCGGTGTTCTCAATCATATCTTTCTGTCCCTCTGCACTCGGCTCGACAAGCGCTTCGTATGCACACACGGAATTCAACACGGAAAAACCTGCGTGCTTTCTCATTCTTCCTTTCGTTCTGTGCCTGGATTCTGGTGCGGTTTTAGAAATCCGAACTCGAATCTTCACCAAAGCTCCACAGGCAGTTCCGAGGTGTTCAACCTCCCACCCTCTCTCACCCGAAGGCTGACACCGTCCAGGACTCGGAGCCTGAGCACCTTGCCGCCTCCCCCCCGGGGTGGCCTGACCTCGAGCACCTCTTCATCCTCCCCCCCCTCTCCGTCTCGCCCCGGCCCACCACCTCCTCCTGCCTTGTAGTAGGCCGAAACGGCGTTGCTCTTTCCGGCTGGTGGCGTGGACACGAGCGAAACGCCAGCGCCGGGGAGAGCGCGGCAAGCCGGGAGGGTTGCGAACGCCTTCGAAGGCGGGTTACCGGCTCCCGCCGGCAAGCCAAGGAGGGCCGGGTCCACCTGTTGCGGGTTGTTGGTTGCTTTTCGTCAAAACTGGGCGGCACGAGGGGCTTTTGCGGCTTGTTTTCGTCTTGGCAGTTTCATACATGGTAGTAGTTTCTCTGGGATAAAACAGAACATACTACGAAGGAATCCTACCACCAACGGCCATGACATAGACCAATCGTGCGACAAGAGATTCCACCCAGCGTGCCAATCGGTGCTAACGGGGCATTGGGTTTATCGGCAACCCCCATCCATGCAGCTCACGCGCTATCGGACGGCCACACGGGGGGCAGCACTTGCACTTGGCCGTCCCTGAATCATTCGTGGGTATCCGGTGCTTGACATTCAAAGCCGGCATCTTTCTTGCTACATATCAACACGAATAAGATGCACACGGACAGCGTCGGAAATACACTCCATCATCGGGTCGACACGAACTACCGTACCAGAAATTCTTACCCTCATTCCGTTGTCCTACATCGACGATGGTACACCCATCCCTTCTTGACGCACCAACTACCGGAAAGGTCTTGCCAGTGACGTAGCAATAATCCTTCAAACACTGAAAACGGCATCATCATCGGTGTAAATTCTGTTCTTGCCGTCCTACCTGTACTTGACCGTCCCTGTCGCTGATGTAGACCGGTCCCTTGGCATCGAAGGCTGGAACGTAAGCGATGAAACCGTTCGATCGAAGGCTCAGTACCAGCCCCTGCACCACTTGAGAGTGATCCTGCCAGGGTGTTGGACAACCGTTTTTAGAATCACAACAAAACACGGTGGTTGTGAGGGCAGGTACGAGGGTGATAAAAGTTGGTCACCGAAACGAGCCGCCGCGAACTCCAAAACAAAAACTGGGTGGGTCAATGCCTCTTCAATGGCAGAGGGAGGTGGCTGGAGAGGCTCATTGAATAATGAAATGGGGTGCAGGGCAAATAGACGCTCACCGCCCTCATCAACCAGACCGCAACAAGAAACGTAGAGCCACCGTTACATCCAGCAAGACCCGGGGAGACGCGGAGGGGTAAGGGAGGACGGGGGGGGGGGCGAGAAGAACGGGTTCCGACACCTCACCTTGAAAAAAAGGCGGAGAAACATCTCCTGGCACCGCTGGGCCAGCCTCTTGGCTCTCCTGTTCCTGTCGTTCAGGTGCGTGCACAGCCGGCCGAGCTCCGCCCCTCCGAACGGCGGCGAGTCGGCAACCACATCGTCCCTCGCTGACATGGAAAACGCCTCGCCCGTATCGCCGCCACCGCCGCCATGGGCGGTGATGTCATCTTGGTCTTCTTCCCCTGGGGTCGCCTCGCCCCCGTCCCTAGCCGTCGTCGGCCCGATCTCCAGCCCCAACAGGGCGTCCAACATATGGTCCCCGTCACCATCAAAAGTGGCACTATCACCACCACCAGCAGCCGCAGCAGCAGCAGCAGCGTCGCCAGAAGCAGCGGTTGCCGCGCTGAACGACTTCGTCTTCATGGCGCCTCCGCTGACATCCCCGGAGCCGCCGAAGCCGCTGTCACTATCTGCTGTTGCTGGTGCTGCTATTGCTGTCGTTGATCCCGAGACCTCTAGCCCCAGCAGAGAGTCGAGGAGGTCATCGCCATCGTCCGGGCCGGCCAGCTCGGGAAAAGACTCCAAGCCGGGAGGTGGCGGTAGACGGCTCGCAGTCATTGTATGCGTCGGCGCTGTGGGGGTCGTGGACACAGATACCTGGGAGTTTTTCGGCAAGGTTGACGTCGGGAAAAGGACGCGAGAAGTAAAGTACCTGAATTTCTGTACACAACGCTGATTGAACTGATCCGGCGAGAGGGAAGGCGGGTGGCACCAAACCACTTAAGCCCAAAGAACCCCGCCCCCCCCTCTCTCTCGCCCGCGCTCTCGCTCTCTCTCTCTCTCTCTCTCTCTCTCTCTCTCTCTCTCTCTCTCTCTCTCTCTCTCTCTCTCTCTCTCTCTCTCTCTCTCTCTCTCTCTCTCTCTCTCTCTCTCTCTCTCTCTCTGTCTCTGATCGCCCTGGCCCAACACAACAGACACCCATCCTTTCTCCAGCTCCCCTTGACGACCCCGCCAAGAACCAGACTTCTCAACAAGCACAGACACACTGGCGGACGATATCGAGTATATCCTATCCCTGAAAACCATGAATTCGCATTCATAGGCCCGCTAATAGCGTCGAGGCACCAGAAAAGCAGCACACCACCCAAGCCTTCATAGCAGCCTGAAAGAGATAGACACTCAAGTAAAACCCACGAAAACACATGTGCGCGACACCGCAACAAGAAACACGACTTTTCCGTGGGCCAGCTTAAGGGAGGGGGGTGCGCAAACACAGTCAGCGCTGTCGGAGCTCCCGTCCAACGACACTGTGCGGTCCGCCGCGTGTGTGCCTGTCACGACGAAAGGAGGCGACCGTCGACCCGCCAGTCGTTCCCAGACCTTCTGGAAAACGCGCTGTTTTCACGGCACCCCGGAACAACCCTCTGTCGAAAGCGACAAACGTCTTGCTGGGCAAGAGCCGTGCGTACCAAAGTCAGCAACACGACCGCAACACAACAAAACGCAACAAACACCAATCGTACAAGATGTTACCGCTCTGTCTGCTACTGCTTGGGTACTTATTTGCCGGCTGCACGAAGAGATGCACTGCCCTGGCGCTGCTGGTACTGGTGTTGGCACTGGTGTTGGTGCAAGGTAGACGGCAAAAATTGGAAAAGTGTCTGGTGCTGCTGGTACTGGTGTTGGCACTGGTGTTGGTACAAGGTAGACGGCAAAAATTGGAAAGTGTCTGGTGCTGCTGGTACTGGTGTTGGCACTGGTGTTGGCGCAAGGTAGACGACAACAATTGGAAAGTGTCTGGTGCTGCTGACGCCGGCCAGGCCGCTCGCCTTGGAGTACGTCCGCGTCCCGTCCGGGTTGATCACGAAAGAGGCGTCTCCCGCCCCCGCTCTTCGCGGCCGCCTCTCTGCAGCGGCATCCGCCTCCACCATGCCAACGGCGGCCTCTTCCATCTCCATCACGGACGGCGCCAGAGAAGAGGGAAGGGCGAGAACGCCTTCATCGTCGTCTCCTCGGTTGGCGGCGGGGGGTGCGTTGAAACCGTCCCCGCTCGGGAGACGCGGCGGGGGTTTTGTGGTGTGGTGTGTTGCGTTGGACGCCTGGCGCGGGGGGAGCGGCGAGGCGAAGGGTGGCGGGCGAAGGAACGCATCATTCAGCGGTGGTAGCTCGACAGTACAGTACACCACTTAATGAAAATAAAAGCAGACAAGGTTGGTTGGCTGCGAGTACGGCAGCAGCAAGAGCAACAGCACCATCAGAAACAACAGCCGCCATAGCAGCAGGAACAGCAGCGGGTTCAGCAGCAGCAATTGCAGCAGCAATCGTAGCAATAGCAACAACAGCAACAATGGCAGCAGTGCCAGCAGCTGCTGCAACAGCAGCAGCCGCAACATGACTATCACCACCACCACAAAAAAAAAACACCTGCGTTACGGAGACCCCGAGGGACGCGAGCAATAGCCGGTGCACGACGATGTCGGCGTATCTCCTGATGGGACTGGTGAAGTGGGTGTAGTGCGACAGCCCGAGCCCGAAGTGCCCGAACCGGCTCTCCTCCTGTGCCTCCAGGCCTGACATCGAGACGTTGTTTGTACGCGTATTGCAGCAGACTTTTAATCCCAGTGCACTTCAGTAGTGTCGCTAGGAAATTGAAACACCATCTTGGCATGGTAAAAAATGCACGGGGCACAGTAACACGCATCGCTTCAGGGGTGAAACTGAACCATGCAAGTGGTGACACAATTACCCGCAATTTCCAATCCATTATGTGAGTGAAGGACCGCTGCAGGAGTGCCCGCAACGACAGCGCGGAGCTCCATGCATTGCTTTTCCCCAGATTCTGGGGCTGTTCATGCTATAGGAATGTCTCAGAAACACCGATGCCGATCCGCAAGACTAACAAATGAGTCTACGTGGGGACAAGCTACAACCCAAGCATTTGTAGAAACAAACACACGCACGCACGCACGCACGCACGCACGCACGCCCATTCACGCTTACACCAACATGTTTGTGAAAACAGAAAAGAACCAGACATAGACATGACTACCGCTGCAGCACTTGGAGCATTCACCGGCTTCCCGTCGATGAGCCTTCTTGGTAAACACTTTCACAAAAAAGAAAAAAAAAGTATCCACAAGTATAAGAGATGCTACTACCTCTAGTCCGGCAGAAGACGCGCTCACCTACTAAATAGTGGAAAACCCTAAAAAAACGGTAATGTTCAATTTTCTCTGCGACAAGGACGGCGGCGACCAGGAGTGCGACACAACACTTCGCACGAAATACAGAACGCGTCCGCACTTTAGAACTTAAAAAAAAACAAAAAATGAGCCCAAGAAATTGAACCAAACCAACTCAAAACCCAAGAGATTGAGCACCATTGGTATGCGCTGGGTGAAGAACCACAAAGTCCTACATAGCGGCCATTTGAAAAAAAACATAGGGACTATTACCCCCGACTTCGGCCAAAAGCAGAGGTTCTTAAGGTGCGGGGCGATTTCTGTATTCGACAATACCTTTCCCGTGCGCCTGGTGGTCGGAGAGGGTGCCGGTCGAGACGTACTCGGCCTCAGACATGGCTCGCACCGCCAGGGACTTGAGCAGGCCGGCCTTGCTCTTGCCCCCCTCCCCCTGCCCCCGCAGGGCGCCGCCCTCCACGGTGGCCAAGCTCTGCGACAGCCCTAGCCCCACGGACGATTGGAGAGAAAGGGGGGGAGATATGGCACGAGTTACGATATCCTAAAGCCTGTGTCATCAGTTTCGAAAAACGCCACGCCGAAAGAAAACACGTCGAGTAAATGTATTCAGCTTGGTCCGCTGGCGGATTCATAACGAGGCCTGTTTCGTTCGTGCCTCCCCTAACGTTACCTCCTGTACAGTACAGGTGGGGTCCCGGAACTTTTTGTTGCCGCTGTTGCGGCTGCTGCCGCCGTTGTTGACGCCGACCCTTGCCCCTCCCACCGGACAACCCTTAGCGGGATGCAGCGCACCCTCCATGCCACTTGCCGAATACCTCACGGCGCTTCGCGCTTGGTGGTGTGCGGAGCCTCAACCACCGGCGTGCTCCGTCCCAGGACGCGAGGTCAATGGCCTGACGACTACGGCATGAACGGCTACGAAAACACAGCCCCCCCCCCACGTGCTCCGTCCCGGCTTTGTAGGGATGCGAGGTCAATGACCTAACGACTACGGCGTGAACGGCTACGAGTATACCTCCCCCCACGGCCTCCAACCGACAAATGCCAGTCGATTTCCCCTCCCCTCTCACCTCCCGCACTGCTGTTGGGCTTGCCGCTGCTCTCGCTGGTGCTGTTCACGCCCACCTTGGCCGCCACGCCTTCGAAGGCCGTGAGCCGGGACGGGTCCGGGGAGGCGTGCACGCGGACCAGCGCCTGGGACGGGAAAGCCCCCTGGATCTTCTCCGCAACGGCGCTGTTGGCCAGGATCATGAGCTCGGCGATGGTGTGGTGGATCTCGGAGTCCTCTTTCCCGGCGACGGCGAGAGGCGTGCCTGGGCAGCGGGCGAGCAAAACAAAGCGCGGAAAGAAGCGGAGGGGGGGCGAAAGGTTTGACGAGAGTGACAGAAACATCAGACCATAAAAAAAGAAAACTCACCGCTCTCTGGACTTCATTATTTTCTGAAAAACGAAGGAAAAAGAAGGGAAATAATGGGTGGCTTGTCCCGTGCCCCAGGAAACCAGGAATGGGATGCGCAAACGGATGCGCAAACACCACGCCATGCTCACATTTCCCTGCTGTTCGTTTAGTTGCTGTTGTTTTTCTTCACATTAAACTCGTGTCAGTTGCTAATCCCAAAATCTAGCAAAGACTCGGCCCGTGGTCACAAAAATGCTAAAGCCATCAGAAGATCTAAATAACACTATTAGTATGTGCGTGACGAAAAATCAGTGACAAAAACATATGTTGTGGTTTGGACTTGTACACTTTTCCGATGCAGGGCTCAAGAATCGATAAAACGCCGAGACACCGTCTTCCGAGAAATACAACAACCATTCGACTGCGACTGGATCCGACCCGCGAAGGGTTGTTGCGCGGAGAGTTCACACAAGGGACGCGATCGCTGCTTGGACTCGTTTTTTTTCGCGCAGTCTCACGCCACCTCACCCACCACCCCCGGTCGCTAAACGGCATCACAGTTCAGTCTTGCTTGTGCTTTGCTCGTGCCAACAACGTGCGACCTTGCGTGCCAGGGCATGGCATTTCGCTCCAAAACAGGCTGGATGGATTACTGGCAGCAGAGCGACAAAAAAAAAGAAGAGATATTTTGTCCAAGAAGCTCATCAGTGTGTAAGACTTCATGCCATGGGATATACCTATGTATTGGCTACCAGCCTATGGGCTTTACCTGTCACGGGGTCGATTTTGAACTTGAGCTCCGCCCCCGCCTGGGATAGGTCTATCGCTCCATTCCTAACCCGTTCTGCTCTCGCAGTCCTGCTCATTCACGGGCACCCGCGCGCGGCGTTGTTCAGGATATAGGGGCCGCTTCTTGGGTACACAAAATCAGAAAGACCCGCTTCGACTCACAAAAAAAAACAGAGCGGCACGCATACGGATGGCATCTGCTTAACGCAAAAAGCGACGTGGTGGTCCCTTGACTCGGTTAAAAAAATCAAATACAAGAGGCAGCTGGAAAACAGGGCGTTTGAACGCAACCTCCGCGAGCGTGGCGAGGATACCAAGGAATCGTCGAATAAACACTGTGAGTGGCTGGCACCAACAGAAAAATATTTCGTTGGGATCGATGCGGGCAAAGAAACTAAGCGCAGATCGAAACCGCCAAGCAAAAACCACTGCGAGTGTTAATAAATCGCCTGAAACTAGACGTGTCCGACATGCCCTTCGGCTACGCCCCATTGCTCTATCGCCTTCTAGCGAACGCCCCGTGGATTCCACGGACATCCCTCCGGCAAAAATGCCCTATCCCCCCCAAACATGAGTGATTCATTGAGCAGCACTACACATAGGACCTCGCACACTATGCAGCACGCGCAAGAAGGCCACTTTTTGTTCACCTCGCGAAGCGCGTGAGAAGTCGCAGGTCGTGGGCCAGCCCGGGCTGCAGGCCTTCTCGGACGTCTCTTCCTGCTTGCCCCGAGGGTGGTTCCTCGTGCCCCTTCTTCTTCTCGATCCGGCCGTCCTCCACCAGCATTTGCGCCTGAATAACAAGCGAGCGGGTAGAAGGAAGAAGCATGTGCACATCACGCATGGGTGCCAGCGGTGCTAGGTATGTCCCAGTGGTCATGCACCCGTAAGCGCTGCCACCCGCTACAGAGGGGAAGGGGCAGCAGCAGCAGCAGCAGCAGCAGCAGCAGCAGCAGCAGCAGGAGGAGCATATTAGCATGTTCGACTACTTGCTTGACAAGCGGTGATGCTACTGTCGCCTTCGGGGACCCCATTGCCTCTGTCCCTTCCATGGGATACTTGTGGGTGTGCTCCGGTGTACCTTACCTTACCACACTCGGACTCAACTCCGACCTAGACTGCGCGGCGAAGCACCGACCAAAGAACAACATCAACAAGTAGCGTCCACGACGTTCCTAAACCTTAAAAAAATGGTCGGGATCTGGCGTCATCTTTGCTTTGTTGCTTGCTCCCCCAAACCGAATGAACGATAGTGTGTTTCTGTTTGTGGCTGGCTCGGGCCGAAAGCACTGCAATACAGCGTTGTTTTCTTCGCTCGCCAGCGGATAAACCTGCATCAGATGCGTTATCTACGAAAGCGAATTACGGCTACGGCAGCTTGGGCGAAAGCACGCAATACAGCCACCTTTAGCAAGCAGCAAAGAAAAAGAAAAAAAAACGGTTCCCTAACCACACTCGGATGCATGGCACAACCTGGTCGTAGGTCATGGAGGCCTTGGAGTGGATGACCGTTCTCCCAAACCAGCACACGGGGGATCCATCGGCCCTGCCCCAACAACCAACGAGCAGCACCACAGGGACACACATTTGCTCAATCTTCAGGGTTGTTGTGAGCGGGGAGGCGCTGCGAAAAAGGCAGGAAGGTTGAGAACTCGGTGAAGCCAAGGCGCCGCCACCCCCCTAGGTACCTCCGATTGAGCGCCTCCCCCCGCCCCCCAAAATAGCCGCAACAATGACCAACTTCTCTCACAAAAACAATGCGAACCTCAGTACATGTACAACGAGCGCAACCCCGATCCCCCCCCCCCCCCGCGGACTCTTACCCCTTGCAGAGGCGGATGTCCTCGTCCCCGTCCTCCTCCGCCTCCCACACCACCGACACCGACAGCCGGTCCTCCCCGGCGTGGAGGGAGCACAGATCTGAGGAGAGGAGGGCCGGGAGCATGTCGATCCGCCTGTGCACCAGGTAGACTGTCGTGGCCCGGGCCCTCGCTTCCCTGTCGAGGGGACTGTCGGCCTCGACGAATCGCGTCACGTCGGCGATGTGGACGCCGATCTGTGCGTGGCGGGGTGGCGAAATCACGGAGAACATAGAGTTGGTTCGAAGGTGTGATGATAGCTGTCGTTCTGCTACAATGTAGGCGGAAATCAGAACCGATTCCGAGGTGGAAAGCGCCAGCCGGGGGCCAGACGCAGGCGCGGAAATTTCCCGCCGTTCGCTCCTGCCTTCAATGCTGTTTTTCACGGGCGAGAAAAATTTCAGCCAAAAAAAGTATGTGGCACAAAAAAAAAAAAAAAACGGAAAAAATAAAAAAAGAGTGTGCCCCCCCAAAAATCACACGTTCCCTCCTTCGTTTTCGCACCTCCAGCTTCCCGTTGGGCTTCCTCTTGACGTGCATGGCGTCGTCGATGTCTTGACACCCGGGGGGATCGACGCTCATGGCCCTCTCCTTCCTCAGGTCGCGCCTTCCGGCAACGTCCGACTCCTGGACTCGCCACCCGGAGTCTTGCCACCTTACATTGTCACATGATCGAACGACGAGCAAGCAAGGCAGAGACAGGCAGCAGCAGCGAGCGACCAAGAGGGAAAGGGTGAAACGGCGTCAAGACCGGGTTTGCGACGCGGCGACGCACGCGCCAAAAAACAAAAAAAGTTCTGAGGCAAACCCAGGCCTAGGAGGAGCGTGCGTGCGTGTGGGAAGAAGAAGCACCTATGAAGCTATCTAGCTCGGAAAGAATTGGGATGACTCAACCCACCATGACACAACGCCGCGATTTTCTTGTCGTGGAACGGGTTGGCATGCGCAAATGCGGCGGGATGAACGGCGATCTACTTGGATACCCCCCCCGCCCCCTCATGCCCCGTCTCGAAAGGGACGCGTGGTCAATGGTCAAATGACTAAGGCAAGCAACAAATGAGTACGCCCCCCCCCCCCCCCTCATGTGGCTAGGTCTTCCGGCAACGTGGAGGTCTCGAACGCGCCAACCAGGACTCTGGCCACGTTTTGCGCGGTATGCATGGCCATTGCACTCACCGTGGGGCCTTCCCGAATCCGTCTTCCGGCCGCTCGCGCTCCGCCAGAGTGGCGGGGGGCAGGAGAGCATCCCTCGGCTTTTGAGACTCCTGTTGTCGTGTTGTAGTAATCCGAGTGAGCCGTGGTGAAAGAGGCATCTCCCGTCAGGGCTAGGCCCAGTATTACCGAGGTGTGAAAAAGCCAACATAGGCCCTGTTGGGAGATATTTGTATGTTGCAGATAACTTTCTGAGATTGGGAGTAACGTCTGCCCAGGACATTATTTCGACCTCAGCAATCACATTCTTTTTCCTTTGTCTTTGACCAGTCCAGATCGATTTCTCTCTTGATTCTGGTACTTGTATTCCAAGCGTCATTTACAACGTCCATAAGTAGAATAAAAATTCACTACAATCGACCCGCAGTCATTTCAACGCATTCCTAGATTCGATTCAACACTCCGTACCGCAATCCCCATTCCAGAGCGTAACGTCCCATCCAATCCCATCCCATCCCATCCCACACCGTGCCACGCGTACTATACAAGATTGTCCGTACAACACGATTCCGGGCAATACGAATACGGATCAAAGTCAAGAACCGCAGGTCAACCATGACGGAACGGAACGCGGCACAGAGCTCTCCTCCTCCACGATACGGCCCGCCAAGAACACGGGGCGCTTTCGTCTCACTTTGGGTGGGTTGGGCACGAGAGGCAGGGAGGCCAGGGCGTTGAAGCTGAAGGGCTGGAAGGACGCCTCGCACTCCACTAGCAACGCCGCGGCCTCGCTCGAAACCTGGAAACAACAAAGAAAAAACTCAGGCAAGCCTCTGCATCTGCGTCGCACAAAGTGGTACAGGTTGTGCTGTTTCGAGTATCACATTGTGCCTGTGTACCACTCTAGATTTGCGTCCGGCCAGTGTTTGAAACGGTGGAGCCGTTCTCAATGTTGAACGTCACGGCAAGAGTGATGCTTTCGAGCTCCGCTTCCGACCAAAGGCGGGATTTCGCTTTTTCGTACCAATTTGTTGCAATCCGAGGTGCCTTTCCTAGTAGTAGGGGAGCCTAGGGGTTCTCAGCGCCTTACACGTATCTCATTGGTACTTCGTCAATCGTTACGGTCCGTGCACAGACACACGTCTACTAATTTGCAGCCCGGAAAAAACAAAATTCGGAATACTAGGGTACCGAAGTTCAGGCCGACTCTAGTGCTCATATTGGAATCCATCGTCGAACAACAGCAGCATCAACAGCAACCGCAACAGCAGCATCAACAGCAACCGCAACAGCAGCAGCAGCAGCAGCAGCGGCGGCGGCAACGGAATCGAGCCTCACCTCGCCCACCGGCCCGAGCGACGTGACATAGTGCCCGAAGGGAAACACGTGCCCCACGTCCCAGCCGTCCACCATCACCACCAGGCGCTGCCCGCTGATCTGGAAAACACCCGATCGAGCGACGTGAGCGAGCGTGTGTGACAACCGACAACCGTTGGTGGTGGCGTTGTGTGGAACGCTTGAAGCGTACTTTTTCAGACTGGCATCGACTGCGAAAAGAGGTTGGGCCGACAAAAGAAAGGTCGGGCTCGAAATTTGGACAAAAATGGCAAAAGCGATCGCGCGTTCAAGTCCGCGCGCGCGCGTGCGTGCTTCGACCTCGCCAACCGGGTTTCCAAAGAGGAGAAGCTCGCACCAGAGAAAGCGCCCCCTTGTAGCGGAGCAGGGAAGAGTTTGAGCGCCTCAAAACGTCCCATTTTCGCGATACCGAGCGATTTCTCTCTACCCAGACGACAAACAAGCTCGTCCTTTCACCATCGCAATCGCTCCAGACAACAGCTGCATGCTGATCTGCCCGATGATATCCGAAGGAGTCAAAAGTACGGCCGTCTTCTCCGCGATGCCAACGCCCTCACGCTGCCAGCGTCTTGTTAAATATCCCCACGCAAGTTGCGCGCGCAAGTACAGGCTAGGTGCTGAGCCAAACATTACATAACGATGCATACCACACGACCAAAGCAGCGGCAGCAGCAGCAGCAGCAGCAGCCGCAGCAGCGTTAGCAGCTGCGAGGAACTCCATAGACAAATACGCCCCTTGCGGTCCCAGCCAGCCTCACTTGAGCGAGCTGTCGGGTCTTGATCCTGATCTTGGGCACCCTCGGATCCATCGGGACCGCCGCCACGGTGGCCGTGCCCCCCTGCCCCGTCGTCTCCTCGGACGGAATGGTCACCACGTACGGTCGCCTCCCCTCCTCCAGAACGCCGACCACAAACCCTGCAAACCCGAAACCCGCCATGTAATAGAATAGAGCGGCGCGAGAACAAAAAAAAACAACGGTATCTTGAGTCACGATGTTTGGATCCGAAGGGAGTTGGTGACAGCGTGCCCCCCCCCCCCCCCTTCCCATCCGCGCCTCCCGAAAACTTTCAGCGTGGGCCATCGGTAGGTCAAACACCGCCGGTGTTAGGGTAGGCACGATGAACGATACCCAGAAGCAAGGAAAGAGGAGGCGAAAATTGCATTGGGAACAAAACAAACTCATGGTCTGGTCAGGTCAAGCAAGACAATTGCCAGAGCGGATATCATGGGGAACAACACCGAAGATGTATCGCCACTTTCCGCACTGCAGCGCCCCCGTCGTTACCCCCGACGACGTGAAGAGCAACACGAACAACCACATCAGCCACGACATCCGCAACATCGACGAAACACCACCGCTAGCAACAATCAACCAAACAAGAACACTATTAGCTCTACAGATCCCCTCGCCTGTTGGCATAGCCCCCGGGGGTGCTTCGCCTCCGTCCCCCGCCCCCTCGGCGTCTTGGAACTCCTCCAGCGGGATGTCTTCCTCTTCCTCCGCCGCGTGCGTGAGCCGCTTGCGATCCGTAGGCGCGCGCCATCTTGGAAGATCGAGCATACATGGGCCCCAGAGATAAAAAAGGTGGAAAACACGGCACGACGCGGCAGGCATCCGCAAGGGTGGGTGACGAGGGCAAACGCATAAGTAGCACGTCAAAAACAAACAGGGCACACCTCCACGGCACTTGCATTACTGGGTGAACACCGTCAAGGGTTGCACGCGCACGGAACTGGATGCCACGGTGGGAAGACCGCGATGAGCGTCATCCTACGAACCAAATGGCGCTACAACTGTTGTGGAAAACCGAAAAAATCACGCAGCAGTCTCTTGATTCTTTGGACACACACACATACACGAGACGTAGTACCCTGGAAGGGAACGGGGTTAGTCTCGAGGTCTTGACGTTTGGACTGGGTTTCAACCAAAGGGTGTCGGGGCAATCGTAAAACAATTTCAGCAAGGGATCACGAACTGAGCGCACAGAATGACCGCTCTGAATGACTCAACGAGTCCTGTTGCAAATCGGGAATAGCGCATGAGCAAATAACAACGACCTCTTTTGTGTGCCTCAACTCAACCAGCTGTTGTCATGATGATGACGCAATCGGGAACAGCACATGGTGTCTCGCACCTTCTCCTGGGCAGCAGCGTGACAGCTACGGTGTCCCCGTGCATCGACCTGTTCATGCCCTCCCTCCCGGCGACCAAAACCTTGTACACATGGACACGCCGGCATCAGCAGTGACAGCAGCAGCAGCAGCAGTAGCAGCGGCAGCAACGGCAGACAGAGAAGAAAATAGCGTGTTGGCACAACGCCGCCACAAATCGATGGGAATTGGACAAGGACAACCAAAACAAGAATTACATGACAAATTAGGTAAAAATCTCCGACCCGGCTACGACCACACGTCCAAACCAGAGAGGGAGGCAAAAGCCACCTAGGTTGGCCAAACCAGAGAGGGAGGCAAAAGCCACCTAGGTTGGAACAAAAAACAGCGCGTAGACCGACGATACCGGCGGGTGGGGTGATCTTACTCTTCAAAATCACCTTGGCCCGGCCGGAGGCATCCGTCCACCCGTCCAAAGCAGCCCCCCCGCCCGCACCAACCACGACGACCCCTTCCTTGGGGTTGTGCTCGAAAACGTCGAGCCTTCCCTTCGACGCAGCGCCGCTGGCGACGAGAGCCTCCAGCTGGGTCTTCGACGGGTGCGGCTTTTGCAGGGGGGACGACGTTGTCGCCGTCCCAGTTGCGCCACCCCCCCCGGCCTTAGACGATGACGTCGTGGCGGCCTGTATATATCATATTCGTGTTGTTTTCGTTGTTGTGCTGTTGTTGTGGTTGGTGTTGTGGTTGTTGTCGTTGTTGTTGATGTCTTGCCAACCCGACTGGACACAGAACTCCCAAAAGCTCCGACCGACAGTACGCCATTCGAGTGCCGTGCTTGGGTGCGTCCTAACGTAACCGCTCACCCAGGTCAAAAACAATCTTGAGAGCAACGACACACACACAAACACACACGCGTGAGCCAAAACACGCGACAAACAAGAGCAAAACGTGGATATACACAAAGCCTCCCTCCACCATCCACGGAACCGCATAACCGCATACAAGGCCGAGCTCACACCTTGCAAGAGAGGTGGGCCCGTCGAAGCAGATCGCCGCGCCTCGCCAGCTCCTCCTCCGCGTCGCCCCCCACATACCCCCGCAAGAACTCCCTCAGCCCGAGCACCCTCGGCAGCCCCGCCCCACCCCCTCCCGCCGCGCCCGTTCCTCCCATCCGAGCATGACCACCAACAGCAAGCGCCTGCTGCTGCTGCTGCTGCTCCTGCTGAGGTGGCGGCGGCGGCGGCGCGTCATGGTCGAGAAAACCTCCGGTGTCGGTGCCGTCACGGTCATCATCGTCGCCATCGGCTGACAGTACCACGACCGACGCATCCCCCAGCTTCTCGCTACACCACCGGCACGCGGCCAGAACCGAGGAGGTGGAGGAGGCACGAACGGCGGGCGTGGGAGGTCGAAGCGCGTCGGGAGGGGACAAAACATTAGCGTCTCCTCCTCCTCCACCAACCTCGGAGGGGCTTCTCTCGCCTGGGTCTGTGGCGCCGGCGGTGGCGCCGGCGCTAGCGCCGTGAAGGTCCGGGCAAAACTTGTCGAAGAAGACCATTGTGCCCGGAAGCGAGCGGGCGAGCTTGTGCACGTAGAAACGGGAGGGCGGAAGGAAGAAGCGGCGTGCGTGGCGGGGGGCGCAGAACGCAACGATGAAGGAACGCGTTTGGCGGCGACGCGGTGGTGAAAACTGTGCGTATCTGGCAGCAGCAAGAGTCTGAGACACAGAGAAATGCATAATCATCGTCGGGCGTGGCCGGCAGAACACCTGCGAGCTTTCGGTCGGGTTATCATAGGGCAAGACTCCCCCCCCCGAAACGACGAAGCTGTATGTAGGAAAGGGAATGGTCCAGTGCGTAATGAAACGATATACCACTTGTTGCATGCTGCTGTGTACCACTTCACCCAAACCTGCCCCCCCCCCCCCCCCCAAATGGTGCCGTGCCTGGTGCGGGGTAAGCTGCGCTTTCCCGGGAGGGCATCAGCGTTTGCTTTGAAAACGTTGCAATTACCCTGTCCACTTTTGTAGTGAAGACCACCAAAATACTCCGGGCAGCACGCGGTCGGTCACCTCACCTGGGAAAGGCGTCTCTCCTGCTTCATCGACAGCGCCCCGGTAGCCCCGGTGAGTTTGCTCAGCTCCGAGTGCAGCAGCAGCAGACAGCAACGAGGAGGCCGCTCTTGGCCGCTTGCACCGCCGCCTGTCGCGCCGGCCGCTGGTGGGTGTGCTGCGTTGCTAGTACCGGCGGCGGGGGCGGCGGCGGCGCCGCTGCCCCCGTCGCGTTGAAAACAGGCCGAGAAATTCGGCCGATCGAAGAGCTCGAGGTAGCAGTGGAGGAAGTCGGCCGTGGGGCAGACGTAGCTGCAACGCCGCTTGTTGTGCTTCCGGCTGTCCTCGCCTCCACCTGTAGCCTGGAACGAGCACCCCTCTCCCTCTTCTCCTCCTCCTTCCCCTAGGAGCGTGTCTTTCATGCTTACCAGCAGTCTGTCCCCCCTGAGGTACGTCTCCCGGATGCGCATAGCCCCCATCCCCCCTCGCTTGGCTGCCCCTTGCTTGCCCGAGCGGACCTGCCCGGCGCCAGCAGCGCGCTAGGCGTCAGTTCTGTGCCAATGTTTAGCAATCATCCGTACTGCTACAAGCAGCCTAGCTCACAATCTTTTGCCCACGTATCTCATGGCCGATACGACTGACTTCAGCAGCGTGCTAGCAGCATCACCATCGCGCCCATTTAGCAGATAATCGGTATGGATGCAAGCGACCTAGACAACCTCACAACGATGTTCTTATGCATCTCATGGCCGATGCGACTGAATTGTCATCTACTCCGGTGCTGGAATCGATGTCCGTGGGTGAGACGGTGGTGATAAAACATAAAACTGAGTTGACTCCAAAGCTGCGGGTAGTCTTTGGCATCTTTCGGTGGCAAGCCTGACATGTACAAGGTTTACGTACGTACAACTCACCGAACTCCCTGTACGGATGATTATGACTCCTGCAGAACAAAAAGAGATTTTGCTGCCGGCACTGGCAACGTGCTTCTGTACGGCCAGACACCCGTGGTGCGTACCAGCACGTGACGTATTGTATTGCTTGACCTCGCGTATCGATGGGAGCGGGCTCTATCTATCGACACATCTATCTTCCTCCATCTATCTATCTATCTCATCCACTTCTCTGCACAACAGTCACCTGCGAAGTTTGACTGTTCGGCTGTGTGTTGTGTTTCGTAGTGCGCTTGTGCGCCTCTGGGTCCTGTTAATTTTCTGATTCATTTGTCGAGGCGTATATCCGTTGTGGGTAGTTGCCCGCGTGTTATCATCGACGACGTCCGCGTCAGCCGGATCGGTACGGACGTTAGGTACTGAGCAGAGACCACAGCATTCAAATGTATAGACAACCCAATAACCAGGAGCTTTGATCGTCTTGTGGGTACACTTAACCAGGAGAGCAATATTAATATTACCACATCCTGCTGCTGTAGCTGGACTTTTTCGGGGCCCCATGTCACAACAATAATGGTTGCTGAACACGGCTCACGAGATTTTAGGGCAGATCGCCGCCCTTGTTGTACAGCATGTAGGTGTTTCCTTTCGGAGACATACTGCTGTAAGATATTGAGCCAATGAAGTCGGCCAACACTAGGGGGTGTTATCTTACGCAACTAACTCAAAAGGCATCCATTGCCGTAGAGCATATTGCTCTCCACCAGCTGGAATGCCGGGCGATTCGCCCGGCAGAGATGGCTGCAATGCGGCAGGGTTGAATTAACAGCAGGCGGTATGGATACCGCGCAATACTGCTTCCACTTCTGGGTGTTTCGATCAATTTCTCCATTCACACGTTAAACAACGCGGCCTATCTTTACTCCTCACGTTTTCTTATGAAGGGAACTGGCTTTCTCGAAGGAACGAAGCACATTTCCACTTACCACGAATCCTCTCGAGACATCTGCACCAAACAGGAGAGACGAACATGGCTTTTCTCCTTCCTGAACAGGTTCCATGAGTACTTTGGCCCTTACTCACACCATGCACTGCGTGCAATACTGCTGAACGATGTCAACTGATGTCGCGAGGGGGGCCGGCAGAGTAGATGCCCTCGACGGTGTTCGTATGTTTTTGGGCAGCATGATGAACATTTTAATAAAGGAGGAAGTCTGCGCGCCTCGCGTTCTCACGCAGGTTTTGGCCGTTTGCAATCGCCCCAGCGCCAACACAACGTGCGCTGGTGAAAAAAAGACCACCTATTAACCCCGAGGTGGCCCTCTAACCTTTGGATCCAGAACCCGAGCGTCAAGCAGCTGGTTTAAAACACGTTATAATTCAGATCCAAGACGCGGAGGGATTTCGTCCCAAGTAAAAAGTCCGCCGTGTTGTTCATCTCTCTGTGGCTAACCCGCTAGACCACGCGATGGCGGCAAGCGTAGCCATAGGCGACGAAGACGTCATCGAGGGTGGACCAAATGCGAAGGTGAGCAGTATCTAACGTCGGGTTTAAATCGGAAGGCCTGCGAAATAAGCCTCTCTTGTGTGTGTACAGTAGCTTGGATCACACGCGATCCCCTCACATACCGCCGTTGGTGCATGTAACGGGGGCTGCCCTCGGCCGCAACAACACCACCACAGCCAGAATCTGTCCAGAACAACAGCTACCAAGTGGTGCAGAGGGGATATGTCAGGCTTGGAAGGAGCGGTTCTCGGTAGTCAACACCGAGATTTGGCTCAGAAGAAGCAGGCGGACAAAGACAGAAAGTGTAGACCCTGCACACGGAAAGCCCCGATTTTGCAGCACGCACGTGTGAAGCACAGGCAACAGAGAGATCCACGCATACACCGCCAACAACAACATTACACATTACCCGTGGCGAGAGCTCTCATAATACTACGCCCCCTCTCTCATGACCCTAAACTCGTGTGACGGCTGCAGTCACAGTCGCAGCCACAGATCATGCCCGCTGACAAGCTAGTGGACAGCATATTTCGTGCTCTTTCCTTCACTGATGGCAACAACAGCAATGGCAGCGGCAGCAGCAGCAATGGCAACAACGACAACGAAGTTGGCGGCATTCATGTACCGGGCGCGGTTGACGGAGGGGGCGATACGAGAGCAGCACTTAAGGAGCTGGTAGGACGGCCCGCCCATCTTTTTTCTCGTGCTGAAATGTCTCGCAGTCTCGTTCGTCATATCAGCAGCAGTGTGTGCTACGCTATAGCAGTCTATGCATGTGAGCTCAACTTCTGTGGTAGGAGCACTCCGAAACTGAGTTTTCCTGAATGAAGTAGCGTTGCTCATATGAGTGTTGCAAATTCCCCCCTCTCTGCTCAATTAACACACGCTACCATCGAGTATCTTGCGGGATCGATCAGCGCGGCGGCGGCGGCGGCGGCGGGGAGTGATATTGAAAGTCACACACAAGTACTGTAGTTTGTCTCTCGACGCTTCTGAACAGGGCGCAGCGTACTCGTTGACGGACATGTCCCACCAAAGACCATGAGTGAGTTATTCAGCGGCTTTCTGGCGACTTCGTCCGCCTCACAGAGCTGTGGCTTGTGGCTAGGAAAGACAGACGCGCACAACAATCCGCGGTCGTCCGGTCGTGATCAAGCAGTACACAGCACGCGCTGTCGGGAAACTTCACCAACGGCGAACAACAAGCGGCACGTGTTTTCGGCACGCACATAATCATACCTCAGGCTGTCCTTTCTTGTCGATGAGGTTTGTTCTGCCCGCCCCCGTCCGTGACCCCAGATTCTGGCTGTCCAGGGCAAGCTCGAAGACAAGCTAGCTCCACCTCCGGCACGTCGAGCCCAAGGGGCATCACCTGCTGTTGCTGTCCCTAACGCTGCCGCGACGGCTGCCTCTGGTCGTGGCCACCGTCAAGAAAAGTGTGTCTACCTGAAGGTAGGGAAGCAGGGCGACGCTTGCTGATACGATTCCCGTAGCTTGGTGAGGAGCGAGGTACGTAGGACAGGTTTTGGTGCGTGGCTATGCAACAACTTGCTTGGCAGCTTCGGGTGACGCTGCGGTCGTAAGTGCTTTTTCTTATTGTGTCTCGTGTGCTTCGAGGGGAAGCCAGCTACGGTACACTCGATGTCCTGTCGCGCGTTGGTAACTTAGTTTTTGCATGATCTTTCTGAAGATCTACTGTCCCAGATGCTGATTAAGAGTTCGATGCTTTGCCCATGGGACACCTACACGGGTGGCCAGAGGGGCAGGTTGGGCACCAACTACAACCTGTGGGGGGGGGGGGGGTGGGAGGCCGAGTTCCACCTTGAACCCCTGTATTGGTTAGGCTTGCAGCCCCCCCTGTTTTTTGGAACAACACCCCTATCCCAAAAAAGGGAAAAAGCCCATACATTGGGCTGCAACCCCATGCACCCCCCCCAGTCCC